GGGGGCTCAGGTTTGGGGTACGGGGGGGCTGGACCTCTCCCCCGAAAGGTGGGGGGAGGGGTGTCAAAAAGGAGGGTTTGGGAGGGAAAATTGGGGTCTATGAGTTGGAGGGGGCTTGACCCCCCACATTGCCATTGCCTTCACCTCTCTTCTCCCCCTGTACCCCCCCTCAGGATTACCCCAAAAATCGTCACCCTGGCTGGAGCAGGGGCTCGGTGGCCTACCACGCAGGTGAGCCCCCCAACAGTGGGGGGAACCCCCAGAATGGCCGGGACCCCCCAAACACAGGACCCCAATAGTGAAACCTCCTCCTATTCTCTCTGCTCCTGAAAACCCCTTTCCCATTTTTCCTCCCTATTTTGGGTTGCACCCCTATAATGAGGGTCTGAGGGTCTCCCCCATGACCTCGGGCGTCCCCCCTAATTTGAGGGGTCCCCATGGCTCTTCCCCTCTTCCTTCCTCTGTCTTTTTCCTCTTCATCCTTTTCCTTTCCCAACCCAGTATCCTCCTTTTTTTTGGGGTGCACTTCTATGGGGAGGTCTGAGGGGTGGTTTCCAGCCCCTTGTGGGGGGGGGCCCTATGGCCTCTTCCTCCCCCTTTTCCCTTTCATCTCCTTCACCCTCTTCTTCCTTCCTTCCTTCCTTCCTTCCTTCCTTCCTTCCTTCCTTCCTGCCTGCCTGCCTGCCTGCCTGCCTGCCTATTTCTCTTCTGTTTTTGAGATGCAGCCCCATGGGAGGGCTCCTTCTCATGACGGGATTTGGGGATCCCTCTGTGCACCCCCATCCCCAGTTGTCCCCTTCTCCTTTTCCCTTCTCCTCCTCCTCCCCTTTCTCTGCCCATTTCTCCCCCTTTCTTTGGGGTGCACCCCCATGGAGGCTATCTTGGGGTTTCTTCCACGAACTGGGGGGCTTCCCCCTAATTTGAAGTCTCCCCTACAGACGACGGAAAGCTGTTCCATGGCAGCGGGGTCGGAGATCCCTTCGGCCCCCGCTGCTACAAGGGCGACGTGATGGGCTGTGGGATCATGTTCCCTCGGGACTACGGCCGGGACAGCGAAGGTANGGCCCGGCTCCGTCGCCTACCACGCCGATGATGGAAAGTGAGTGTCGCGATAGCGGGGGGGCGGGGCCGGGAGGGCGGGGATCGTTCGGGGAGTGGGGATTTCGCGATAGCTAGCGGAGAAGTGATGGGATAATTGCAGGTGTTGGGACAGTAAGGAATTTCAGGACGCTGGTAGATGTCAGGATGTGAGATGAAGGATTAAATGATTTGGGATGTCAGGGGTATTGGGATAGCAGGGGTGTTCGGCATATTGGGGACTGTTGGGACATTGGGGGTCTTGGATATGGGGAGTGTTGGGAGCTTGGGGGTTTTGGATACTGGGGAGTGTTGGGACCTTGGGGGTGTTGGATATTGGGGAGTGTTGGGATCTTGGGGGTTTTGGATGTTGGGGAGTTTTGGGGCCTTAGGGGTGTTGGATATGGGGGGAGCCAGGAGGGCAGCAGGACTGGGAGGTGTTGGGAGGCACTGGGGCCTGTCACGATATTTGGGGTCTGCTCCAGGTTTGAGGTCCCCGTTTAGTGACACTCCCCCCAATCTGACCCCCCCTTTTTGGGGTCCCCCCGGTTTTGGGGTGCCCCAGGCTCTACAGTGGCCGGGCCAAGGGGCGCCAGTTCGGCTCCAAGTGCAGCTCCGGGGACCGGATCGGCTGTGGTGTTGAGAGGGGCTCGTTCGGAGCCCCCCCAGCCCAGGTTTTCTTCACCAAGAACGGCCAGAGGGTGAGGGGATCCCCCCCACTTCCTACTTTGGAGTTGCCCTAAATCCCAGATGGGGGCCTGGGGGTGCCCCTGAGCCCCCCTCACGCCCTGACTCCCTCAATTGCAGGTGGGGGGTCTGGGGGTGCCCCTGTCGCCCCCGGGGCTGTTCCCAGCCGTGGGGCTGCACTCGCTGGGCGAGGAGGTTCGGCTGCACCTGCCCCCCCCCGGGCCCCCCGAGGATGAAGGGGGGGCCATGCTGGTGGACAGCCTGGAGGAGGAGTGGGGGAGGCTCCACGACGTGCGGCTCTACGGCTCCGTGAGCACCCGGGAACCCGGCAGGGAAATGGGGACTGGAGCCTCCCCCAGGGCTGGGGATGGCCCAGGGAGGTGGGGAGGGGGCTCAGAATGAGGGTGCAGGGGAATGGGGTTGGATGAGATTGGACCCCATCCCTGGGTTGGGAGGTCAGAGATTGAGGTTATGGGGTGAGAAGAACGGGGCTCTGTGAGTTTGGGGATGGGACAAAAAGGGTCCCCAATTCTAGTGAGGGTGAAAAGGGGGGCTGTGACACGGGGCTGGGATAAGGGGGTCCCAGCAGAAACATCAGGAGTCTGGGGGTTCTTGGGTGCATCTCAAATCCCCTGTGCATCCCCCCCAACCCTCTATGGCTCCCCCCTCAGCCCCTATGATCCCCCAATTCCCCCAGCACCCCTCAAACCCTCCCAGGTGCTGTTTTTAGGTGGGGAAGGGAATGAATTTCGTGGATCTGGAGCTGGTCCGGGTTAGGGCGTGCCCCCTTTCCCCCCTCTCTGAGCCTCCCCGCGCCCCCCCAGGTGTTGGAGTACGTGGGGAAGGGGAAGAGC